CAATTTCGTACTGTGATGATCAGACAGTTATCTCCTTCTGAGCACATGAAAACGAATAGGAACATGCTTCAAAATTTTTCTAAGTCCTATTCGTCCAGGACGAATTATTACAATCGTCCATGACGATTGGTTCTCTGTAAAAATTTTCGTCCATCCGAAATTAAATTATCGTCAATGGCGATTGTCCACTGGAAAATTTTCGTCCAAACGAAATTAATAATCGTCCAGGACGATTGGGTCTCTGGAAAATTTTCATCCAGACGAAATTAAATTATCGTCAATGGAGATTGGTCTCTTGGAAAATTTTCATCCAACGAATTAAATTATCATCCAGGACGATCGGTCCTCTGTAAAAATTTTGTCCAGACAAATAAATTTCGTCCAAATGATTAACTGACAGAACGGTTTTCAGCAGTTTCTAGAAACCGACCTAGTAATAATCATTCGTATCGGAATGAACTAGTTCATACGAGACGATCAGCTGTATGAAAGCATTTCGTAACATGTACAAATGGGTCATTTCAAATCATTTTAAGTAAAATGTCCAGGATTTATCAACGATCGTATGGGACGATGCCACTGCGTACAGAATTGAAAAATTGCAGTTTTAGGGTGGTTTTCTTATCTTTTGTATAAATATGTCCAAATTAGATTGCCACCCAATCTCTTTTGTCATTTGATCTTCGTACCTCTTGAGAGAATAGCCAAGAGAGAGTGTAAGAGAGCATTTCAAAGAGGATTCCTACCTTGGAGCGAGAAGGCTCACTTGGATTCAAAGTAAGAGTCTCTATTGTGAATTGGATTACTTCACTCTTCCTTCTTCCTTCTATTATTTCTGTAGCAAGATCTGTCAAGGAGATCCGGTTCTCTGGCCGACACACTTTGCACGATCAAGTGTGGAACAGTGCGAAGGGTCGCTCCTACACTTGGAGAGTGTAAATAGCCGATAAGGTTTCTTCTGCCCACACGTAGGAAGTGTGAAAGACAGACAGTTTTCTCTTCCTAACACTCGGGGATTATGTAAAAAGACAGGAGGCGTGTTCTCGCAAACTGGGATAGTGTGGAAAAGACGGACGATTCTCTGCCAACACTGGGATTGTGTAAAAGGACAGACGATTCTCTACCGCAACCGGGGAGTGGTGAAAAAGAGTTGTTGTAAAGGTGTCTCCGCTTGCTGTGGGTGCAAAAAGGAAGTCATATTGGTATTTAGTGCGCAATACCTAAAGGGGTGCTCTAGAGTGGATGTAGTCCTGTTTTGGACCGAACCACTATAATCTGTGTTGTCAGATTACTTTACTGCGTATTTTTATGTTTCCGCTTTCTAATTCTTAGTTTTAAAAAACTCATGTGTTGAACAAAACTTTTTTTTCTACAAGAACTTAAAAGAAACAATTTACTACTTTCGGTGCAACTAATTTTAAAAGAGGCTTAAATTTTTAATTAAACTTACCAATTCACCCCCCCCCCTCTTGTTTAGCCTTCGCGTGACATTAACTTAGCGTTAACAAAACTTATAATTAACCTGTAGACTCAATTAAGTGGTTATCAGGAGGCATCATTTCAAAATCATAGAGAGTGTGAATCTAACTTTTTTTGATTAACGTAGAATGGCTTCACATTGGAAAACGCATAACATTCTGAGGGTTATCCTTTTACTAGACCTCCTCTGTTTGGGGGAAACCAAATAATTTTTTTCTTCCTATTCTTTTGGAGGATTTTTGAAAAACACGCATGTCTATTTCTTACATGCACTTGCATATATCGACAATGTGGCGAGGTTGTAAGTCATATTCCATGATGTTGAGTACAGCAAAACCAAACTAAATAGTGATGGAAGTTAGTAGTAGATAGAACACCTTTTACATATTGGACTCATATCAGCAAGAATCGTGACTTAGCACAAACCTTAAATGCCAATATGTCCTAATAGTTTTCTTTTTGTTTCATTTTAATAATTCTAAAGACTACTTACGGTTTCTACTGTTATAAAGAGTGGAAAGGACGATATGGATGTAGGACTTTGTTATAACTTATGAGGGACAATGAGGTTAAGCAATCAAGACTCAAATTATCTTGGTTACTGACCTATGAGGTTTCCGTTGACATGAAAAACCTAATGAATCGGTATCTCTAAACATGGTACACAAGATATTCACACCAGGAATTTGGTCACTTCTTGTGCGATGCAACTTGGTAGGGCATATTAAACTTAATGGCTGAACTATGGTTAATAAAAATTCTTCGAATGTTTAACCTACTGCTTATGATCGCTAAAATTACTGCAATTACAGAGTTATAAGATCTTAACATTTACTCTTATTGATAACTTCTTGGTGCTTCATCATTATTTATGATACAAGGAGTGAAGTCAAAGATAAGATTGATTGTTAGGTGAACCAAGACGAGAGAAAAATATTGCACGAACAAGGTGGAAGAGTCAGAATGGTGAACACTCAACAACCTGGGATGAAGATTGATATTGCGACTGATGACTAAAAACAATTCAGAAGGCTTTTAAAGAGGTAATAGTTAAAAAGGACGCCATGCAATGGAACAGGAGGTAAGCCTTACCAGAAAATGACAAAGTTCTAAGAAGTAATATTTGTTATGAAATGGCAGGAAAACTAGGTCATCATATCAAGACTGCTTTGCCCAAACTCCAAAACCACTCCCTAGGCAAGGAGAAAGTAGAGTGAGAAAAAAACAATGAGTAAAGAAGGGCAAGAAAAGTTTCAAAGAGCCTTCTGGGCAGAACTTCAGCTTCAGACTCAATCATTGAGACTGAAAAATGAAGAAAAATCACTAAACTTTCGCTTGATGGCAGAACAATATGGACACTCAGATCAAAGAAGAGGTCTGCCTTCACACAAGACCTCGTCGAGGGTGCATATGTTACAGGTGGACAGCGGATTGTTCAAAGCATATAACTTGGAATACTGCTCAATTTCATAATGCTGGAAGCCAGGGTAATTGGGTAGGCACAAGTACACTTGTGAGATAATTACACAAGAGATGAAGTGGATGGATCAGGCTATCGATGGAAATTTCAAAAAACCTTTTTCATAGATAATGTGGTTATTGGTGTGAAGGCTTAAAACAATAATCTTTAAGTATTAAGTCACGTTATGTGATAAGGGTATTATTGTGAAAATTTTTACTTACTAGCTGCCATATTAAGCGCCTAAATGGAAAGAAGATTTTAAAATGTGGAAAAAGAGGTTTATATAATATTTACATGGCTATAGATTGCTTGAATTCTATTACTTCGTCCTGGTACTACTTTTTTGTTTTAAAAATTGTTTTGTAATTGAATCTATGGCTTTGCGATAGGAGACTTTTGTCATTTCTAGTATGAAAACCTTAGTGGAATGTTACCAAAAAACTTAGGTGAGAGGTTGGATACCAATAACATAGACTTTACTAAGGGCCACCTCTGTGATGCATGTCAATTAGGAAATTATAACTGTGAAGTTCCTCTTTAAGTCCAATAAGGATCTTAGGACCAGTGAACCTTTGGAAATTCTTCACATGGATCTTTTTAGACGGTAGGAACTGTAAAGTCTAGAGAAGGTATACGGATTGTGTATAGGGGATGTATTTCTCAGATTCACCTGGCGTTAGATTCTTCTTTCATAAAAAGGAATTCATTTAGAGAAATTTCAGAAATTTTTTTTTTTTCAAACCTTTGGGGAATTCAAAGAAACTAGGTGATGTGAAATAATTTCTTTACAAAGCGAGGTCATGGAGGAGGAATTTTATTAAAAATGAAAAGATTTGAAAGTATTTGTATAAAGAAAAAGGGATTGATCACGATTTTCTGCACCTACAACCCCTTCAACAAAAATGGGTTAGTAGGAAAGGAAAAACCAGAACATATAATAGACAAAGCGCCCAGACCGGGCAATGTTTTCAGAATTACTCACTTCCTAGATGATTTTTTGGCTGTTCATGACGGTTAGCACTGGATGTTATGATTCTAAATAGGGTGAATTGTGAGATCAAATTTAAATGTAAAACACCATATGAGTTGCTAAAGGATAGAACACCTATAACTGTCACATATTCAATGTTTTGGTTGAATAAGTGTTCATATATAATATAATGGGAAAATCTTGTAACTTAGAAGTGAATTTTAACAAATCGATTGATAAGGAATTTTGTTTAGATATCAAGTGTTGGGAAAATCTTATAGAGTATTCAAGCAAAAAGAACTTTAATCATTGAAGAAAAAACCACACATGTTGATATTGATGAATCTGGGAAAATTTGGAAGAGCCAAATGAATTGTTGAGAAGAGATTGAGGGAAACTCCCAGAGAGATTAATTAGATTAAATTTGCGAAAGAAAATGAGGAAAGAAAATTTGGGAAAGAGAAAAACCCTGTTGCCTAAAGATTTTGAGATTTTCTAAAAACCACCTAATGAGAATTGAATTATAGGTGAACCTAGTAGTGAGGGGTGTAGAGACTAGGCGTGGTTTTAGACTGTAAACAAGGAATCAAGATCATCTCAGCCCTTTTTCAAACACGAATTAGAACCCACTAATATTGATTCAAGCACTTATCTGGATAAATTTTGGATATTCGCCATGCAAGAAGAATGAATCAAATTTGTAAAAAATGGAAAGTTTGGGATATTAACTTACAAGCAAAGATCAAAGTGTTGTGTGGAACCAAGTGAGTGGTATTCAAAATAAAAAATGAGATGACTCAGGTTAGTAGTCATTAGAAATAAGGCGTAAGATCTTGTGGCTAAGAGGGTTATAATCAAATTGAAGGGACTGGATTTTGAAGAGACCCTTGCCCCTGTAAGCTAGACTTGAAGCAATAGGTTTTTTATAGGCCTTTTGGCCTGTTTAAAGGTTTTAAATTATTTACTACAATGGATGTCAAAATAGTGCC